ATGTATCACCACAATTAGTTTAAAAGCTACAGTAGCTACAACAGGGAGTCAAAGGTTCAGTCAAAGCCTTTCTAAAATGGATTCCCCACCGAATCTCTGCAGTATCACAGTAGTTTCTGATCATAGTAGTTATCAAAGTATTAATGCTACATAGTAGGATTATCACAGTAGAAGCATCACAGTAGTATCTCTTGACATAGAGATAAGATTGAAAAAATCTACAGAGACTTTGAGAAACAGACTCAAATGGGGTACTGGCTAAGACTTCACCGATTAATATCCTTTGATTCCCATTCCATTTGTAGTTTAATTTCTGATTCTTCATTCTCATCCTATTCAGGCTCCCCTGGTGGCTCAGACAGTAAAGAATCTGACGGCAATGCAGGAGACCTGGGTTCAGTTCCCTGGGTTGGAAAGATTCCCGAGAGAAGGGAATGGCTACCCACTCCAATATTCTTGCCTGGAGAATTCCCTGGACAGAGGAGTCTGGGGGGCTATAGTCTATGGGGTTGCAAAGAGTCAGACACGACTGAGCTAATAACACTTTCACACTTTCATCCTATCCAGCCTACTCATTTCAGGACAACTGTAAAACTAACACTGACTTTAAAAAACATTAATTGTAGAATAAAATATAACGTCAAATAATAACAGTACCATTTTCACACCTATTTCAGTCAATCTGGAAGCCCAGGCTAACAATCCTATTATCATTTTCATTTCTTTAAGTTGATTCTCACTAGAATCTTAACTTGATATCCTCAATTAATATATAATAAAAAACTAAAATTGAACATTTAAAGGACTCATTATTCTCTTTACTCTGTGAGGTAATAGCAAACATACCCATTTTAGGTTCTGAAATTTCAGATTTTAGGCAAAAAGTGCTATACAGTATAGGGTAGTCAGAAAATGCTTATGATAGTAAGAAGAAGATATAAATGAGTTTACACATGAAAGATACAGAAAGTTTAAAGACATATTACATTATTTTAAAAAATGATTAATAAAGTTTTCAGATAGATTAAACAATTATTTAGCTATTAATAAGAGGGACTAGCTCACAAATGTTTAATCAATAAATAATTGCATGGGATTCTCAACACAAGGAGAAATACAAGCAAATGATCATCATGAGTTGTACTGGTGATATGATTAAACATAATATCATGGACTTTGAAAATAGATTTCATGTAAAATGGATGTATATATGGATAATGTAAATACCTATTCATTCCATTTAGAGTAATAAATGAATAAAACTTTTCCTTTTATGGGAAAATTATTGAAGCCACTTGCAACAAAGTAAGAGATATGGTTCTTTTCTTTGGTCAGGTTATTTAAGGATCCCTTGGCTCTGATAGGTATTTCTTCAATTTCTCCTCTTTCTTCACAAAGAAGTAAATTTTCCTACTTTTCTGAGATCTTTCAACTTCCTCTTCACCAATCATTACTCAGCAGCCTTTAAATATAATCAGGTGTTTGCCATCTTAAATATCACTTCTGTCTTCCTCATACCCTCTTTCAGAGTCTACCATAATTCTCTCTTTTTAAAAGGAAACTACTTTTTGAGTTTTCTAAGTTTCTGTCTCTATTTCTTAACGTACGTTAGTAATGGATTCAATGATTATGTAAATTACTTTTGCCAAGACAACCAATAACCTTTTTGTTGCTAAAGTCAAAAAGTCTTTAGTCATACCTTGCTTGATTTTTTTGGCACCATGTGATACTGTTGACCCTTCCTTCTTTTAAAAATTTTTTTTTTTCTATTTGAGTTCCTAGGGGTGAGAAATCCTTACCTATTTTGGATCAGTGAGATGTAAAAAGAGGCTTGTTGGGGGATTTAGGGAAGAAAGGCTTTGCTTGTAAGAGACAGCTACTAGAAACTTGGTTCTCTCTCCTTATAAACTTGAAAGAGGAAGCTTGTTATCTTCAACTGTCATAGGTAGTCATCTGACAATTATGAGAGGAACCAATTTTAAGACAGAGCCAACAATATGAATGGAAGAGTGGAGAGGGGAAAAACCCCAAGCATTTAAAATTATCTTTGTTGTTCAGTTGTCAAGTCCAACGGTTGGTGACCCCATGGCCTGCCGCATGTCTGTCCTCTACCATCTCCTAGAGTTTGCTCAAGTTCATGTCCATTGAATTGGTGATGCTATCTAATGATCTCATCCTTTGCTGCCCTCTTTTCTTTTTGCCTTTAATCTTTCCCAACATCAGGGTCTTTTCCAGTTATCTAACTGAAGATTAGTCTGAGGCTCAGACTAGATTTTGTCTACTTATGTTAGCTAAATATTTCTTTAATGTTCAATACTAAAATTTTCTATAGCTTGTGGTAGAAAAAACCTTATTGATAAAATCTTTAGCCATTTATTCTCTGTAATTCTAAGAACATGTCATAAGTTCGTGTCCCAGGGAGCTCTGTATCTTCTATCTTATTCATGACTCAGTTATGACTTAGGTTTTAATGCTTGCTGAATTTGTATCATCAACTAAGATTTCTCTCCTGAAAAATGTGTCTAAATATCCACTAAAAATTTCCACTCAGATTTTCTAGAAGATACCTCAAATCAACATTTTAACTTTTTTTGTTGCACAGCATAGTATGCGGACTCTTAGTTCCCTGAGCAGGGAATGGACTCCTGCCTCCTGCTTTGGAAGCATGGTGTCTTAAGCATTGGCCTTCCAGGGAAGTCTTAAATCAACATATTAAAACATAAACTCCCTTCCTCTCTTCCACTTCCAGTTGTTACTCTTTTTGTCATCCCACCTCAGTGAATGGCACATCATGACTCATACAAATTAGAAATTGGTTATCAATCTTAGAACTATTATCTGTCTTTTATGCCCTATGTACAGTCAATCACAAGATCATGTTGACTCTGTCTTTTAAGAATATACTAAATCTTTGCATTTTCTCTCTACCACTCATTCCATCCACTCTCCCTTGGATTACAAGAGAAGCTTTGTAACTTGTTCCATGGCCTCAAATCTTTCTTCTTTCTGATTCTTTCTCAGAAAACCAGTCAAAGTGCTCTTCAGATAAAAATTTAATGATGGCTCTCCCCAAAACTTCTTCCCATTTCTTTCAGGATAAAGCTCAGCATATTCTGGTTTATGCTTATACTCCTGGCCTTATTTTCACACCAGCCTTCTCTCTTAACTTTCTTCAATTCCTTTACTAAATAGGTGTCCTTTCCAGGTGCTCTCCCAGCCCTGTATTCCATCCTCACAGGACCGTATTTATCTGCAGTGCTGGATATTGCTCAATAGGCAGATTAATAACATGTATAACACCTGCAAACCAGGATATTAACAATTATTTTGGGTAAAATAATTTGACATTTAATGTATATTTTTTAAAAATCACTGAAGCATTCATCAAGGGAAAAATATCACTTAAGTTACAAAGAAAGTATGTGATTGTGTAGAGTATATGTTATGAAGCACAATTACAAAATGAACATTCATAAGCTTAAGAACTAGGGTGTCAAACCACAATTCAGCTGAAGAAACAGAATACTACTGCTATCAGCTTCCTCCCTGATCATCCTATCTCTAGATCCTATCTCTTTAGAGACAACCATAATCCTAAGTTTTATGCTAACCATTCCCTTATGAAAAGTTTTCTCAATCATATACTTGTGCCTAAATAATATATTTTAGTTTTACTTGTTTTTGAGACTTATAAATATGGAACTCTTTTTAATTGATTCAGTTGCATTTGCTCTATTTTTTGCTTTTGATGTGTGCCACCACCTGAAACTTGTTCCTCACTCAAACTATGCTTTTAAAGTTTATACATGTTATACTAATTACAGCTAACAAGTGTTCATTGCTGCAAAATATTCCTTTGTGTAAATAACAGAATTTACTTTCTCACATTCCTTGTAATAGACAGGTTTAACCAGTTTTCTACCACTGTAAGCTTTAGAAGTATCTTGAATGACATACACAAGAGTTTTGCTAGGATATCTTAGGAGGGCAATTGTTGGGATGTTGGATACATTCATATTCAGCTTTTATAAGATAATTTATTGTCAATGTGATTGTGCTTTATACTCTTTCAAGAAGTATAAAGGAGCACCCACTACTCTTATACTTGGAAACAACTTATATTTTCATACTTATTAATTTTTTATAGTCTAGTAGGTTTAAAATAACATCTTTTGGCTTTTTCCTGATTGATAAAAAAAGTTGAGTTTTAATATTAATTTACTCTCCCAATTGCTTTTATTTTTACCATACTTTTGGTATTGTGTTATCCATCTTTTCATAATTTTTGTAGGAGTTTTAAAAAATATATTCTGGAATATTAGTCTCTTGTCCTTCATATATGTTGCAGTTATCTTCTCGGTTTGAGTGTTCTTTTTACTCCTTTTATGGTGATTTAACATGAAGTATTATAATCACCTACTTATCACTCAGCCTATCTCACCAGACTAACAGGTTCTAGAGGTAAGACACCATACTATATCTTATTCATTTCTGTCCCCTAACATCCAGCGAGACCTCAACACTTAGTAGTGCTGCTTCATACATACAGTTGCTCATTAAGTGTTTAATGAATGAATGACAGGATGAATGAGGTGCTATGATTTTACAGGAGGTGAATCAATCATTTAGTGGTCAAATTTCATTTTATGCAAATTGGTTACACTATGCTACTGAATCAGAGTTCAGAAAGTATACACTACACAATTTCCTGTACTTGTACTTCAAAGGTGGGTGTCAGGCATTAATAAGAGGTGATAAATTTTCAAAGAGGTGGCAGGATATTGTTTATAAAAATTCATTACCAGCTCTGAACACTTGGCAATATTCACTTTTCATTTTTTTCAACACACTTACAGTTAGCCAAACTTCCTATTGTGGGATAGTATTTAGCCTAAATTTATCAGAGAGTTAGAAATGATGTTAAGACACAAGATATGGATTACATATTACAATGGATATGCAAGGTTCATGGTTTGTTTCATTAATTTGAAATTGGTTACCTTTTTAGTAATGGTGTCCGGAGGTACATCCCGCCTCCCAAGAGGATAAGGATTCCATTGGCCACTAGGAGATACATCTTCTTGTCCATTGTCTAAAATGTTGCTTTGCTGGGACGGGGTCTATTGCAAAAATGGTATGGCATTCTTTAGTGATGTAATAGAAGTTTATCATAGTTTTCTGAAAAGAGTCCCTAATGATTATGGTAAAATTACTTTTTTTTTAACTGCAGAAAAACATATATCCTAAACTGGAGGTATTTTTATCCACTATTTACTTGGTAAGAATTGTAAATTAATAGCTTTTTGGAAGCAATGAGAAATTCAATTAAAATAACCATCTTAGAGTTATTTACTGAATTTTAAAGATAAGTTTAAATTTGCAGTATTGGAATAAAAATAATCAGAATAAAATTAACCAATTGTTACAAACCACATTTAAAAGTTGCTTAACTTACTTCTTTAGTATGATCTTAGCATTTAGAATATAAACTGAAACCATATAATACATAGTATGTAACTTCTAATATTCCAAACCATAATCTAAAACAAATTTTATAAGGCTATAGTGATTCTGGGAGAATGTGTCTTGCACTAATCTACAATGATGTTAAGACTAGCATAGTGTGAGATTCATGGTACTATGACGACATCTATAGATCACTTAGAGGAAAAACTAACACATCAAAAAGTTTTGAGCTGTTAGAATTTTGGTTTAAATAAATCATAATTGTTTTGATTCTAAGTTTATTTGCATAGATCATTTATATATTAAAGATTAAACTCTTCATATATATTTTATTTTTGACTGGTTTACTGCTTATTATTTTTTAACAAATAACAATCCTCCTGTCTCTGTTATTATTACTATTAGATATTTTGGGAGGCGTTTGTAATCTGGTCTAAGTAACAGAAGGTAATCATACACCAAGAGAAAGACAGCTTCCTATGGAGGGCTACAGTAGTGAAATATTTTTCCTGTCAAAGCAGATTAACTTCTTGCATAGACTTTTTTTCCTCTAGCCTATAGGATATACAAGTACTGCTTGATTTTCTGGGGAATTCTTTTGTGGTGAGATATTATAATCAGTGTTTCTTATGTCATTTACCCCACATATTTTGGAGGATCCCTACAGATAGAGAAAGTCTGGTTAGAGAGTGTATGTGCAGTTCTTTGTGTGAAGAATTGTCCTCCAACCCTGGAATGAAAGAACTGGGCCTTTCTTTTCATAATATGGTGCAGATGTACTGCTTGTCAGGCTTCATCCAGGTATATTGAGTGGTCCTAACTGTTCTCTTTTACAAAACAATTATATAATGATTCTATCTGCATTTTGATTACATGCATTTTTAAAAAGCCTTGCTTGGAACTGTTAAAAATAATATTTACTATGACAAAATTAATTAAAATCAGGTAAATTTTTCTGGGGTCTAGTGGATATAGTGAAAGTAAGGAAATAATTCAGTTTTCTTATATTTTGACTGTGTGAATTCCTATTTCATGAGTATCAGAAATTATGAAAAAAGAGAAAAAAGGTATTGAATTGAGGCTCCTGGGTTAGTTAGGAATGAATTTACCTGTGTTTGCTTGAAAATCAGATATAGGTTAGTACATTTAAGAGGACTTCCCTGGTGGCTCAGATGTTAAAGCATCTCCCTACAATGCGGGAGACCCAGGTTCAACCCCTGGGTTGGGAAGATCCCCTGGAGAAGGAAATGGCAATCCACTCCAGTACTCTTCCCTGGAAAACCCAATGGACGGAGGTGCTTGGTAAGCTACAGTCCATGGGGTCACAAGGAGTTGGACATGACTGAGTGATTTCACTTTAACATATTATAAAGTATATATTACTTGAAAATAACCAGACAGCTCTTCAGTGACCATCTGCCTGATTTCAAGCATTAATTTTCTAATCTTTATTTTAGAGATTAATGTTTGTACATGCCCACACATAATTTTTCTAGCTATTATTATGACAAATAAAATTCTTAGAATTAAGCAGTTAAAATACAACTATGCAGAGTGGGCACCACTGAACAGTTTTCTTTTTGAATTTTTAGGATGCAAGTTGCTGCTGGTTTGGTTTCTCTGCCAGTAAAGTGGGATTATAAATATGTTCAACTAGCTCGGTCTGTGGAACACAGAGTTTTGCAAAGTGGCCAGAATTAAGCACAAATAATCCTTTTTGCCTCCATTGTATCCCCGTCTTTATCACTATTTCCTCCACTAAACTTCCGCCAGCTGCCCTGACATGACTCTTAGTCACAGAGAACAACTGAAATTGCAAGATTCTTTTTAATGTTAAAAAAGGCGAAAACCCTTAGTCAAAATCCTAAGATCATGATGATATAGATTCTTCATTCATTTACCAATTAATCTTTCTCTTTTTAAAATGAGAACTAACAACGACACCAATTTCTGTATGTTACAGGGGCCAAAGAGAACATAAATACACAGACACATGAAAAAAAAAAAACAAAACTTTGACTAGACAACAAGAGTAAAGGAATTTCCTGAAAGCAATTTCCTTTATTCATTTCCAGAATGCTCTGGCTTCTTTGTTTCTCTTAAGTGAGACACCGGAGGAGTGACTTCAGTTTTCAAACGTGAAAATACTGTGAGAACATTTATTTATGTTTGGGAGGGAGGAACCCAAAAGAGAATTATGTAGTAGTGGGTTCACATTCTTTCTCAAAAGGAATGAGAATAGCTATTTACCAAAAAAATACTTTCAAAAAAGTGCTCCTGAACTGTCTAAAAATGCAGTTGTTTAGTTGTTAAAATTTTATGAAACGTTAAAAGGAGCAACCAAAAATTGTAAAAAGAATAATGAAGCTTTCATTTATTATTTCAAAGAACAAAATCAATTGAGTTCAATTTTCATTCAATTATTTTTAGTATCACATTCAAGTTATTTTCTTTAGATACTTTAAAAGATTAAGAATTAGTCTTTTCCTCACCACATATAACCAATTAAACATAAAATATGTGGAAAATCATCACAATATAGCATTTCTTCAGCTTCTAAATTCTGCAGATCCTTAATATTTCAAAATAAAAGAGAAAATGGTCAGTGTGATTTACTTAAAAGTCAGAAATTACACTTGTTAAGAAATTCAGTAATGTTAGAAGAAGTTCTGCTGAACAGACACTAGTCTGAAAAACGAATGCAAACATTTGCAGATTTAACATTTGTGATTTTGACTACTGCGAATGATCACAAGCCTCCATTGGAAGAAGTAATTTCTGATTTTGCTGAGACATAAATGTGCTTGAATATATGTGTCTTTGTGTGTCTATATATCTGGTATGTACAAGCATGTAGTGTATGCATGCATGTGTGCATATGTGTGCCTCTGTGAGTATATGTGTATGTACAGTATTCACATATATGAGTAAATGGGCTTAGCTGTTTCAGAAGGTTTGCTCTTGACTGTTAATTGATGGGGGCATTGCAAGCTTGGGAAATTAACTTATGGCAATTAGCTGGAAGAATTCTATCAGAGTAGTATTAGAATTTGACACTTTGCAAAGGTCTTGGGACATATTACTTAAGATCTCAAGGATTATTTTGTTTAGTAATTGGCACATAGTTCACAAAGGCACACAGTTAAAAAATGTGTTGAAAACAACTTTCCCCAAAGTATTTTCAGTGAAATTATTGTTATATTATTCTTTTTCTGAAAAATAGTAGGTAATAAAGACAAATATACATCAAGCTTGAATCTACATCATTATGATTTCACAGATCTCAATCTGAAGATGGTAATGTAATATCTAGATGATCTTTAAGCTACTGTTTCATTATAACGGTGAGGAAGCATCTGTATGAGTACAAGATTATTTTGGTAGTTTTCGTCACTCTCTATGAGGAATTATGTGGATTTACAGACTGAAGGATTTTTTTCATAATTAGAAAGATAAGTGAGTCCTTCGTGAGTGATAGGTAGCCAATAATAGATGTAGCAAAATCAAGAGAAACTATGGGCATAAATTAACCCAAGTCTCTACATAAATCTTGCTTTGCTTTCAGCAAACAAAACAGAACTGGAATTAAATAAATAACCCTTGGAACTCGGGTGAATGAATACATGTTGGGTACTGGAACTATCTGATCCCGAGTAATCTGCTTATATCTATAAGAAAGGACATTAGAAATTTAAAGAGTTTATGTGCAAACATTGCCTAATTCAATGATAGTAGAATAAGTATCAACTAATAAAAGAGTGAGGTCATCTTCTTCCAGGCAAAATTATATTAAAATACTATTTAATACATGTTCCCATAATTTCAACTTCTCTTCCCCTGAAATTGTAATTTATATTAGTGTCTGCTTCAATAGCCAATAAGTAGTAGGAGCTATGGAATAATATTATGGTGGTAGAAGTTAAAAAAAAGAACAAGAAAAAAATGATCAATTTCTCCAGTGCAGAAGAGATCACACTATTTATACTGGCAGCCGGACACCTGCAGATAGGGTGTTGGAAAAGGCAAGTGATTTCTTTCTTAGGCTTGCATATCTCTGGAGCAGCAGTGGCATGGATGATTAACTTGCAATTTTCTTAGGTTCACAACCTTTGGTCTTTCATTGCTACCAAACATATTTCTTGGTGATACTGAGTGCTCAGGGAATGCAAGCATATGTTGAAGAGTGGAAGGTAACTACTAGCATTTATTAAACTCAGTTAAATAAGAAAGTACTGTTTCTCTAGCCCATGGGGGATGATTTGGGCTGTGATATATTTTGGAATAGTTAATACATTCTATTTGTGCATTCTTTTGTGTTTCCTATTCTACACAATGGTGATAATACTTCCATTTAGGGTTTTTGGTGAGGGTTGTGTGAAAAAATACATTTAAAGTATCTCATGGTACTAGGTACATAGTAGATTTTCAATAAATCCTAGTCTTTAATCTTCTCCTGTCAAGATATCTATTTTTCCCACCATTAATGTGGATAATAAAAATGACAGTTTGAACTGACATTTTACAATATTATATTTCTTTTGATAACATAAAATTTCAAGATATTAGCTAAGCTCATTTTCAACAGAGCACATCCAAAGCAGCACACTGAACCATCAATAAAGTCATAAAAAGCTACCTTAAATGCTTTTTGGAG